TAGTGAGCATATACGATTCCTAATGCATTAATACCCGCTAACACGTCACAACTCGGCAGGATTCAGACTTAGGCAGAGAAAATGGCGATTCCTTATATGGTACACGAACAGACGACGCGTGTCCGGGCGCGTGTCATATTAAATAGTTAATAAAATCACCTCTGAAGGCTCGAATGAGCGAGTTTTCGTATCAAACATGTTTTAATATTACTCTTTACAGGATTATGAGCCTTAAAGGGCTGGGTTCTATTCTCCTAAGGGGACTATTTTTGTGTTGGGCCTTCAACGAGTGTTCAGCGGCTATTGTAATTGATATTCAAGACGCACAAGAAAAGCATACCAGAACGAATACAGTCCATGTTCTCGAGCACATCGTTTATTTAACCAGGGAGCCACACGAGAAATATTGTAAATACATGAACAATTATTATAAAAATAACATCGATTTCGTGAAAACCCCAATATTAAAACCGCTAGTGTATTTCATTTTTGTGAGATAATAGAATTTTATGATAAAAAGGGTAGGGGCCGACAGGCCCGGGCCACCCCCGCAAAAAAAGAGTAAACAAAGAACAGAAGAGGGTAACCACAAATTTACCCTTTTTTTTTTTTTTTGCTCAAGGAGGGGGGGGGGGGGGGGGGGAGGTTTTGAGTAATAAAAAAAATAAATAAATAAAACGATTACATTTTTTTAGTGCACACATTTCGAACCGACGAGTTATGGTCGCAGTGTAAATGCAGCTATGGTAATTAATCGAAAAAATTAACCGTCGACCTTTCATCCCTCATGTTCTTTTGTTCTCTATATCCTTACCACTTTTTCTCTTCCTACGTCATGGGATTCCTGTCTGACTGACCTATTGCTCCTACGTACTGTCTCTGCTTTACTCTTTGTTTTTGTCTCAGGCCTTGTCCTAGTCCTTGTCTTTGTAAATGATAAATAGATGAAAAAGTAAACAGATGACTGAATGAATAAATCAATCAATAAGTAAATACATTAATGACCAAAAATAAATAAAAGAATACTAATTGGAAGCATGAAATGCTGTTTCCTACGTGAATTTCCGGGTAATACATGATTTTGTTAATCATGTCTTATATAATTTACAGACGGGTTTACAGAACTTGCGAAGATGAATATTAAGGAACATTGTAACCATCAAACTAAACGATCAAAATAAGGTCCATGATTTTAAACTCGTTTCTCAAAATCCTATTTTGACATGTTTGCAGTTTTGATGGCACTGTAAACGTTCAGCCATTAGGTCAATTATATGTTATTGATTGATTTTTTAAATTCTTCTGTACTTTTTGATGTTTGTTCGGTCTACAAATGTATAAAAATATATTGTGCCAATACGACTATGCTTGTTTTGAAGCAAAAAACAAAACAAAACAAATAAAATCAAGCCATCTAACATCTTGTCCAACGAACAATAAAACATGATGAAGACATACAACGGCATGGTCTCGACAAATTCGCTCTTGGATTAAAAGAGCCCTGATGTCTGAATCAAAACAAAAACCAATCATTGGAGAGGAATCTTAACACCCCAAAACTGCTCCTTAAGAAAAAATAATGGTGGCTTCTTGTAAACAGGTCAGGTCCGCCACGCCGTGAACTTCCTGGGGGACTGAGCCGAAAGGCAAAATATTGTTGCGTAGTGTTCTAGTACAACTGGGGTTCTTTACCAATACTTAGCGTTGTTTAAATAATTGTATTTACAAGATTTTTTTGCTTTTTACATATTTCATGTATTATATATGTATATATATATTTCCATGGTAAACATACAATGGAGTAAAATTATTTGTCTCTTTTGCCTGGTAAAAACTCATAGGTTGGACTTGTATCGGATTAATGTTTGTAGGCTTACATTGTGAAGTTGAAGGAAATTACAGTAATTTGCAGTATTCAAGTGTTGTGACATTCGTGCAAATACTTTACTAAGTGTAATACATTGCATTTGCAATCTAGATTTCACTTTTGTGGTACATCAATCCAGTCTTTATCATCAGTATTGTTGTGGTTATTATTATTACTATACTATGATTATTATTATCCTCATCATCATCATCATCATCATCATCATCATATGTCACCTAGAAACGAATTACGATGCACGATGTAGAGGTATACGTTGTTAAAAACATTATTACTACTGCCTTGATCATATTGTGTGAAAGATATTTGGGTACTTATTTTCTGCACTAGCAAACTTACCTACCAAATAATATGACAAACAAGTACCATTTTACATTATTAGTAGTACGGTATGCTTGAGAAAAGCACTTGGTGTTCCCGGATATGCAGGTAGACGAAAACATGATAAAGTAAATCATAGTGACAAAGACAAAGGAAAAGAAATTTGAAGCGTCGCACCAAGCTCATTAGGGACCAGTAACTTCTATATATATATATATATATCTGCATAAGTGCGCACTGAAGCCGGTCCACAGGAATACTATTACAACGCGTATAGGCCCTGATCAACCATACACAAGAAACGAGGTAAATACTGAAAGCTGAATCGAAATAAGGAAAGGGCTCTCGATCGTAACAGTTCGAATACGGTGATCTGAGGGAGGAATGTCTCTCTGCATGCGGTAAATAAAACTGAGATTTGAACTTTTATCCCATGTTTTATACTAAAGTTCAATGGGGGATCTGTTTGGAGATTTATATCCGGAAGATTACAAATTTGAAACAGAAAGTGACATTTGTATGCCAAAGGAGTAATGTTCTCTCTCTTAATGTGCTTCAAACAATTATATTCATTTAGTAGGTAGAAAATCTAATGACAACCTTGCTCTTAATATTACACTGGATATTTCTATAAACAGAAAGACATGTAAAAGGTTTCTTGGTGTTTATATCAATAAAAACTTGACTGGAGCGACCATGTAAAAGACATTGTTACACAAATCTCCAGAAATATTGGCGTACTGTATAGAATAAAATGTTTTGTTTCTGATAGAATATTACTTATGCTATATAATAGTCTAATTTTACCACATATCTCATATTGTCATATTTTTTGGGCAACATCCAAGTGTGTGACAAATAATTTTCTTCTGCTGCAAAAGAAAGCTGTACGCATTATGTACCCGAACTGGTTATCATGAACATACTACCCCACTATTTTTTTAAACTGAAATGCTTAAAGATCGATGATATTAACTTCCTCCATATTGCCATATTTATGTTTCGTGTCAATATCAAATTGTTACCTACTTCATTATCTTCTAAAAATCTTTTATATTAGATGTTTAATTTATGTCAAACTATGTTCATTGTAATTGATAGGTATATTTTTGTAATTTTGCATGTTTTTATTTGTGAATTGTATCGCAATTCAGCCTTTTACGGCTGCGAAGATATTGTTTAATAAACCTTTAATTGACTTGAATTGAATCTTCAATGTTCCTACCTAATAACATGGCTCACTTATGTTCAACAAGGCAGTCATCGAATTACATTGTGGTCAATCCTCACATTACACTATCCCTGAAATCAATCAGACATAGGGGCCCAGATGTAATGAATTCCCTACATAACAATATTCGAAATATAAAATCACCAAACTCCTTTAAAAGAGCACTCAAATGTATTATCATTTTACAGAGCTCAGTTCCCATTATATCGAACATAAATTTAATTCTCTTAAGATCTAAAAAAAAACTTTTTACTAGACTTTCCATTATACTTCTGTTTTGTCTTTCTTTGTAAATAGTGTAAATAGTTCACAAACCTTTAGGAATTTTATTTGTCATATATTACATATTTGAAAGGTGTTGTAACGATTCAAGCTCTTTTTGCTTATGTTTCATCACCTTTGTGTTTTCATTCTTTGAACTGTATAATTGTTTCAAGTTTCAAGTTTACTTATTTCCACTTTATCGAAGATAACATAATTGAACATAATGAACATGGTAGTAATTATAACTAAACATACAATATAGAAACATAATGTACATGATAATAGTTATAACAAAAGATACAATCATAAGTATGATAAATACATTGAAAAAAGGCTAAATAAAGTGGGGGATCTACTAAAAAGCAAAGCTTGTATTATGTACGTCCCACTTAGCTTATGTATTGGTACTAGTATACTTAATATTATTATTATCGTTATCATTATGATCGTAATAGCCGGCTTGAAATAATTGCAGGGCCCGAAGGAAGAGCAGTTTCATTACTGATGTGGCTATCCTGGTTAAATAAGACCAAAGTAGTCTAGTTATTATTAATCCTCTGCAAAATAATGTTGTTATTGAATAGATTTCATTACAAAGAATCTTACAAAGAATCTCCAGTATGGTTGCAAGATTATGTAAGGAAATAGAATGAGAAAAAAGTATTCGAGCACGATGGAGATATTGTGAAGAATGTATTTCTTTGACGTGTGTTGTTAACTAGCATAGTTTCCGTTACGTTGAAAAAAATGGATAACTTCGAAACTTCAGATACAGATACAGAAAAGGCGAGGAGAATAAAAAATGGTAGAACATGCTTGAATAGGCTCCTTCACAATCCAAGCTTTACAAACTTTTCTTTCCTGATTGAAAAAGCAACGGCGATTTCTGTACCTTTCTCTAGCTCAGAACCAAAAATAATCTATAAAAATGACCATAAGGCCTAAAATAAAAACTTGTTGCATTGCCCTTTGGGTGCCAAAACATGGGTCGGTCGGTCGGAAAAGATTTTTTTTAATTTTTTTTTTAAACTTTTTTTTTTTCGCCCTCTTTGGGCCGATATTTTTCAGATTTGAATGTTTTTTTCCCGCCCTCTTTAATGCTTTAATACATGTGTTTCAACGTCATCATTCCATTGATTTCTTTTTCACCTCATAATCATCCATGGTTTGCACGAGTGAGAATTTTTGTAATAATTTGATTTTCTGCATTCATATCCCATTTACACAAACAAAATACATATTTTTGTATTCATTAATAAAAAAAAATCTAAAAAACGGTTAAAACAAAAAAAAACTGTTTTTTGAAATCCCGACCGTAGATTTTCAGATTTGTGGGTCGGTCGCAAAGGGCAATGCACCAATTTTTAATTTTAGGCCTAATCTACATCATCTATAAATTAATTATACCGACATTATCAAAAGATATTTATGAATGTCTTTTTATCATGATTTTTCTTTCATACAGATGGAAGGGCCAACATTGAACACAAGCCTTGCAAGCAATATATCAAACGGGCAGACGACATCGCGTCCGAAAGAAATTGTGACGTCATGTGGGTGGTGTGACTGGCGCCCTCGATGGCTGCAAAGGTTCAACTCTCAACGTTGGCTTCTGGCTGCGATAAGCAGTGCTGCTTGCATGACGGTAAAGTAAACCAAACACGACAACCGACAAAACCACGACGTGCACGACTTTGTAAAATGTCACTCTTAAGGAAAACTAATGGCAACTTACACACTGACTATAGCCGAATTCTTGAAAAGGTGTGGGGACATTTTGCCCCATTACCCCCAGTGCTTTTATAACTACTTCAAAACTTTCCGTTCGAATCATGTCCGTTATAGCAAGGAGTTAGTAACTCCTTGGTTATAGCAAATAGTTATGTCCATCTATGTTACAGACATTTCCGTTAACATCAAACTCCATTTGTAAATGGTTGGAGTTGCGGGATATAACTACTTAAATGATGATTGTACAGCCATTTCTGTGAAAATAATAAATAATAAACCATCAATAAAGGCATGTTCAGATATGACGCGGTCAAACGCCGTAAAAAAAGAAGAAGCTGCCGCGTTTTTTTTAAAGGTGAAAATAAATGGCAACTGAGCCCAACAAAGGACTTGCGCGTATTCACTGAGCTCCGTGTTAATATACGGAAATATGAAGCATATTACACTTTACTTTAATCATCATAACATTTTTTTAAAACGCCGCGGTTTTCCGCGTCATATCGGAACAAACCTTAATGAATAATATAATCGTCTGATTACAGTAACATGCAGAGGAACTACATGTAGAAGATAGTTATTCCCTCCCTTTTTTCAGCTCATGATCGAGGATGGATTTACGAATAGCGCGATCACGTCGATCGAAAGACGGTTCCAGCTGCGCAGTCAAGATATTGGCACCATACTGAGCATCTATGAATTCACCGTTATCATCTCCATAATACCTGTGACGTACTTTGGTGGGCGTGGTAACAAGCCACGATGGATTTCGATTGGTTGCTTTGTGGTGGGCGTGGCTTCACTTCTCTTCGCTCTGCCTCACTTTACGACAGAAAGATACGCCTATTTTAGCGAAAAGGGCAATGAGCAAGCAACATGCCACCTGCACGAGGCTAATAGTAGTTCTACATCTTCTGTAGACAGTTGTAGGCGGAATGGCAAGAGTATATCGTTATTATCGAGATATATCATTCTCTTTGGAGCAGCCAAAGTTATAGCAGGAATCGGAGCACCACCACAGGGAAGCCTCGGGGTAGTGTTCATCGACGAAAGCATCACCACCAAGCAGAATGGGATGTACCTTAGTAAGTCTAAAGTGATGCGTGGGTAGCTGTTTTGGCGTGGTGTTGTGTGCGTGTGTGTGTGTACATATATATACATGTATGCTAAGGTGGGCGGGGAGAGGTGGATATGCATGGGTTTTTACAAAAATAAAGAATAATCCCATAACTGAGAGACAGGATAAGGACAACTACAAGGACAAATGCAATATCATGATTTATAAAATGGCTCTAGTATTTTAAGCATCGTGATTGGTCAATACGCGTCACATGACATTGACAAATTTTTAAAGAAACCTCGCGCGTACTGCATTCACCGCTATTGCACTCTGGGACGTGCGTTATTTGTATAATGTTACTATGTCCCGTTTGCAGCCCAAAAAATGAAATGGTTAAATTCCAACGGAATTTGAAAGATAATACTCATTTAGAACTTCCCTAAAAAAAAAAAGGGGGGGGGGGGTTGAAAATGTGTTTAAGTGGGAAATAACGACTATAAGTTGTCGAATCGACTTAAGTAATAGCAATACAGTAAGTAATAGTCTGATTTTCAGACCATTGTACCGAAAAGGTCGTACGTTTTGTGCTACGCAAAGATTCAATCAGTTTAATTTTGGCCATTACAAGAAGTGAGTTATTGATGTAGACAAATGCTCATGTACCCTCTACAGCTCATTTTATGTATGTTATTACAAAAACAAGAAAAAAGCCAGTCAGACACTCCATAGTGTCTGGCAGTGAAGTCTAGCAAGTAAACGGGTTTCCTTGCATAATTTGAATATTAGGCCACTGCTAACGTTTAAATTTCACAGATAGGACATACATGACGATTTCATAATTCCTGCAAAGTTCTACAGAATTTGATGTGGGCTGCAAAAGAGACATATTATCTTTAAGTAAGATTAACGGAGAATTAATTTGAACTACCTCATATTCTGGAAACCATTCTATAAAGAAACTCCTGATTCCAGTAAACCAAACAGAAGCTAGAACATTTTGTGTGAGTTGATGTAATCTAATGCAGTGCATTGTGGCTAATTGACATAAATCACCATGACAACTATTTTTGGATTGCTCTCTGCAGGTACTTACCTCACCATGGGAACCTTCGGAAGTGCAATCGGATATATTTTAGCGGGCATCTTTCTAAACATTTACACAGATATTGACATGCCGCCTGGGTAATTTCCTTCTCTATAATACACTTTTGATATCTGTTGTAACTGTTCGATAACAATCTTACAGTTTACATCAATCGCATGCCACATTGTTATAGAAAAGTCCTTCCTTACTACTCTTGTATTTGATAATCATTTCTTATTTTCTAGAGGTAAAAGTCTTTGTTTCCCATTTACACTAATTTCTAAACATGAAACATGTTATGGATCAGCAGACGCCTAAATGAAGAAGACGAAATCATAGTCATGGGTTTTGATATATTTTTTATAATCCAAGAGTTTGTGACCCTGTGATGGCCAAAAGATTTAAAAGAAATGCTTCAAAGCTAAAAACGTTATTAAAAAAGGGTCAGGGGAACTCGAGCATTTCTTATACCTCTTCTTGTCATGTCTTGATGTCCCCTGTGCCTATCTTGAACATCCAGTACTATTACAACGATCTTGGGTAGATGATTATGTTCTTTAAGTGACTCGGTAACATTTTTGAAGGTTGAAGAAAAAAATGTAATTTGTGTATGAAATGTTATTTATTATATTCCTTTAACTGTGCTTACCTTCTGACATGCAAAGAATCCTTGAAAAATCTCAAACCACAAAGAAATTTATGGTTTTCTTCGAAGGCATCACTGTGCGACACCCTCTAACAGTAAATTCTCCCAACTATTTTTCAATTTTCCCAACCGTTTTCCCATGAAAATAAGACATAAAACAGACTTTTAAAAATATGTCAACACTTAAATCTCTGGAATGGTATTTAGAGCCAATTCATTGCTTTGTGACGATTCACATTCACCTAAAATGTAATTGAATTGTAATAATATAGTTGGGAGAATTATGGAATCCATCAGATCAGTTTCTTTTTTTAGTATTAACAATGATCTGTTTTCATTGACAATTTCAGATTATCTTTAATTGTACATCTAACATTGAAGTCATTACCTGAGCACCATTTTCTCTCATCTGAACAATGTTACTAAGTCCCATTAACTCTTGTCTCCCATAATTAGGATGACTGCATCCCCATCCGATCCTGGCTGGGTAGGTGCATGGTGGTTAGGTTTCGTCATCGCAGGGTTCGTTATCATCGCACTCTCTATACCAATCGGTCTCTTTCCCAGAGAGTTACCTAGTGAGTTGACCCGGAAAACCAGATTCATCCTTTAAAAGAATACTGGTATATTGATATATTGGGGTTCAAGTCTTCCAACCCCAAAAAATAAAAAATCGTCGTTAGCAGAGAAATGGATAAGAAATGCGTATTTATTAATATTTATATATTTTTCATTTTTACTACAGTGGTTATGATGATATAGCAGAAAACGAAAATACTGTGGCGGTTAAATATGTGATCAGAAGGGAAAGGGAAGGGGAAAGAAGTATTTGGTAAGGAAACTTTTTTTTGGTTTAAATTGTGCTGCCAAGATAATAATAATAATTACAGTGCTTATATAGCGCCTAACACTTACTTTGTCAGAAGTCTCTAAGCGCTCTACAATAATGCAGCATAATTACCCTGGCTTTAGCAGTGCAGCTGTTACGCGCGCTGCGTTTCAAGGAATAAATTCCAACCAGGTACCCATTTACTTCACCTGGGTGGAGTGTGGCAAATGTAGATCAATGTCTTGCCAAAGGACATTAGTGAGCTAAAGAGTAATATATGAGTCCTCTCTCTACATCCTACCATAACCGCACCTCAATAATATTTTGTCTGGTTTTCGGCCCCCCCCCCTCCATCTTCAATCTGTTTCTGTTTTTTTTTCTCGCTCTAATATTACCCTTCGTTTGTCAAACCAGTATGTCCGCCATTTTCTTTTCAAAACCATGGCAACGAACAGAAACGGCCAGAATACGTGCTGAGAAGCCTGTGGAATCTCATAAGAACTCAGGGCTCGGAGAGGGCGGTCAAACACCGAGACAACCTCAGTCCGAGGCACCACGTTTAGTCCAGGAGATCAGAGGAGTACTGGAGATTCTGAAACATCTGGCCATCAACCCGACCTATGTTTTAACTGTTTGTTCCACCGTGCCTGATGTTCTCCTCATTAACTCGTTCGCTGCTTTCTTGCCTAAACTCCTCGAAAATCAGTTCATGGTGACGTCAAGCACTGCTACCATCATAACAGGTTTTTTAAAATTCACACACCCCAAAACACGCACTTATTCCCACGAACACTTCTGGAGGTTATTAATTTCTGAAACACTAATTCCTCATACCAGGGAGTTTATAATTCCAAACATTTGTTGCGTTATTCCAAAGCTTCATAATTCCTAAAATAAAACAAGTTTCGTTCTTCTGAATGTTGTTAAGTTTAATAAACGAAGGATTCTTCGTCTACATATTTGGAGTAACGAACTTTCAGAATTATAACTATTCAGAATAACAAACCTTCAGAATAATAAATCTTTTCATTTGTATCACTTTTGTTGGTGTTTGTAATCCTCTCAGGGATTGCTGTTATCCCAGGATCCGTATTCGGGACCTTCCTTGGAGGATGGGTGATGAGACGGCGAAAACTGAAGGTTCCTGGTCTTATCAAGCTAGCCATCTTAGGAAGCACCATCGAAACCATCGCCTTCCTCTGTGTCCTCATGCACTGTCCACAGACCCAGATAGCTGGGGTGACGACGGCATATGATAGCGGCAATGGGTGAGTTACACGGTCATCAATTTAGTTACCATTGACAGTGAATATTTAAACGCATTCGTCTGCGACTTCGTTTACTGAGACAAGATTGTTGAGCTTCATATTAATTCATTTTTAAAAATAATAATAATAATAATGATAATAATGATAATTATAATAATAACAATAATAACAATACAAATATCCATAATGATAATAATTATTATTATAATTAAAAATGAAACATATCCAACCAAACGAGAACCAAAAACAAATGTAGACAGATATCAAAAGTAATACAAAATGATTTTTCACAAAGGATTGCTGTAAAATAGTTGGCGCCATTCACTAAAATCGAACGGTATACTTTGATGCTAATAACCTACTTAAGGTCAAAAGTCTTATGCGATATACACTGTCTGTTTTCGTGCCCATTATTAGAAGCTTTGAAATCTTCCTGGAAATATAAGTTATAGATTTATCATGCTTATATCTATATTATTCTCTCCGATCTTTGACTCTCGGTTCCCCTTTCTCATCCTTCCCCTTCCCTCTCACTTTCTCTATCTCGCCTCCCTCATCCTATCCCTATATCTTCCTATATCGCTATATCTTCTTATCTCTGTCACTACAGATCCACTCTTCTAAACTTGACGTCGTCATGCAACATAGCCTGCTCCTGTTCTGCTGACAAGTTTAAACCAGTGTGTTTGGAAGAGTCCGGTCTTAGTTTCTTCAGTCCATGCCATGCGGGATGCAGCCAAGATTTCGAAAACGGTGTATGAAAACCTGACGAGAATTCAACCTGATTTGTATATAAAACTTCCTCATTATCATAATATTAGGCCTATATATTTTGTTTCATCTCGGTTGTTCCTTAGTTCAAATTGGACCTCAGTACAGGAGGCGAGTTGGCTTAGTCGATGAAGCTCTTGCCTGTCGATTCTAAGATCAAGGGTTCGAATCCAACCCAGGCAAATGACTAAAGCCTGGGTCGTATGTTAGCACTCTACCCCCTGTTTCATAGACACATACCACGCTCCAATAGAAAGTACACTGTCCCTCAGATAGGACTTTAAATGGAGGTCCAATCCATAGGAGAGTCCCTAACTATGCATGATGATAACAGCCAACTGCATTATTCGAATAAATTAAATAAGGGAGAAACCCCGGTGTAGTTTTGCACCTGAATACCACAATAAGTTACACTGACTCGAACCCGGTACCTTTTGATCCGTAGACCGAAAACTTATCCACTACATCACAGCACCTGTACTTGCATTCATCTTTTTTCTTATTATTTCAACAGACATATGGAGGTTGTTCATGTTCCCCGGGGATGAGTTTTGGAATTCCAAGTACCGTCCGACATGGAAAATGTTCCACACCATGCAATCTTCAACCTGCTTTCATATTTATGATGAACGTAGTATTGGTTGCCATATTTATGAGTAAAGTGCCTCTAATGAACATAGTTCTCAGGTAAGAAGGATATATTTTCTTTCTGTTTGAAAAAGAATATTTACATTTAACAAAGTCAGGGACATTACATAGTTTATGAAATAATATAATCAAATAATTTCATGTAAAACATGGTACATATTCTTGGATAATGCTGTTTTCAAAAATGCATAAAGTTTTAGTTTTACAGCGCTTTTCCACTTCTATAAGCAAATACAAATCAAAGTTTTTTAATAACTTTTATAAATAGATCATGAAAAAATGATTTAGGATTTTCTACTCGAATTAATGTTGCATACATAGCATAGTCGTCTGCAAGTCAGATATTTCGATAGAAAGAGGAAAACTGTCGCAATGTAACAGAATCGAAAAATGAAGTATTTTCTTGCTTTATATTTTCTTTCTCTTTCTCTCCTTCTATCTATCTATCTAAATATATTTCTGTATTTATATCTCTTTATATTTCTTTATACATGTATTTTGTTTTCTTTCATTCATGTCAGTTCGCTTTTCATCTTTCACGTCACACAGTCATAATTGTAATTAGGTGAATATACCAGACTTGGTTTGGCTCGAGGAGGGAGGAGGTTTACCCCTGTTTTTATTTACTAAATTCAACTCTCAAAAGTACGTGTTTTTTGTCAGATGATAAAACTGATGTAGAATAAAGAAGATATGAATACCAAGTTCCCATCATGTTTTGTTTCATCAGGTGCGTTGCTGAGCATGAACGCGCCGTAGCTCTTGGCATGAATTCTGTAGTAGCCAGAACACTTGGTAAGTGACTGGTCTAAACATAAATGCCATGAAATGACGGAAATATCGTGGATGGCCTTAAAGTGACTCTCACACTCTGCCGTGTAGGCCTACCGTGTGCCACCGTGCGCGAAAATGTCTGCGGACGGTGGAGAACGGCGAGGGCACACGGTGGTTCGTTATCAAAGCGGGCAACACGTTAATAGGCCGTTGGCGCTTATTTACACCCGGTGGGACCCGGCGAAAGTTTTGGGCATGTTCAAAACTTTGGCCGGCTGGCACCGGCCGCAAGTAAGCGGCAAGAGGACGGTGTTGAACGGTATGAGGACGGTATGAATACGTTATGAAAACGGTCACACTGTATGAACACGTTCACAACACGCTCATAACCCGTTACAGAACAGTGATGAAAAATGGAGAGCGGACTGACCGTTGCCGTTCAAATCGGGGTATTTATGGCAGTCGTGTCATGACGTCAGCAGTCCGGGGACTCGCTCAAAGGACGCTCCGAGCGGTGAGGGGACGCTAAGTGATTGGTAGGTGGCTGCTACAAACCCGGTGCACACGTTCGAGACCCGGTATGGGCCCGGTATGGAAACGGCCAAAATTTTCAACAAAAGTCAATCTGGGCGGTGAAGACGGTAGAAGCACGTTCAACACCCGGTATGCGCCCGGTGAGAACGGTCAGAAGATGGCAACGAAACGGTGAAAAGATTAATTTTATGAATTTTTTTTGCGGCCGGGGACAAGTTCGCTCAAAACCCAACGTTCTGGACTCTGTTGTTTTTTTAATAGCCCGGCAGGTGGACGGTAGGCCTACACGGCAGAGTGTGAGAGCTCCATAAGGGTGTGACAATAAAAGTGTTTGAATTATGCATTAGTTAAATAAAATGTTAATAATTTCCGGCAAAAATATTTTAGGGGTCATAACTAAACGGTCGGGTAACTTCGCGTCCACAGAACTGGAAAATATGTTCCAGTTTTGTGGTCGCCCAACTTAAACCAAAATTAGCCGATTTTTTTTAAAGGGGGTATGGTGTCTTGAAGTGTGACTTTTATGAAAATCTTGAAAACATGTCCATTTTGGGATTAACTTTCCTATGTCAGGGTTTGAGTTACCCGGATAAAGACTTGAGGCATATGAATAAAAAATGGGGAACAACATTTAAAACAAAGTTGGAAAATTTTTACTTTACACTTCGCATAAATTTGTTGAAACTGAGTTCCCCTATGACATAACACACTTGCAGACACCATTCACTTAAAAAGAACTAATACCCAATCGTTTAGAAGTTGAAGGATAATTTTGAATCTTTCATATTTCTTGTTGTTTCCCGAATGCGTGTCGTATAAGACAAATTAATTAATGGCTTGAGAAAAATGCCCCCGGTGTTCCTTTTAGACACCATTCTAGTGGTTGCAACACATGTGTTAAGAAGTTTTTACAAACGGTTTTGAGTCAAAGTGCCATTATATTCTTGGAGAAAAGAAGGTTCCGATTAATCCTGTTTGTGTTAATGGTCTTCTATTTTAGGCTCCATTCCAGGCCCCATTCTCTTCGGTGCCATCATTGACAGTACATGTTTACGATGGCAAGAAACGTGTGGCGAACGGGGCGCTTGCTGGCTGTATAACAATAAAAGCCTGTCTTGGAAACTAACAACGCTCTCGCTTGTCTGTAATGTTCTTACGGTGCTCTTCTACGCGCTGGCACTTCGGTTTTACGAACCGGCTTCGCAAGGTGAATCGAGCACGGATAACCGAGATGTGCCTGAAACCGAAACGTGCCTTAATGAAAGAAACACTTAAATGACACTGATGAGTGTTTTTTTCTATCAATTACAAATTGAATATGATACTTTTTATGATTAAGTACAGATTTAAAACCGTTATTAATTAGAGTATGACCCATATTCACCATATTCTGCACTAATTGCAATGTAATTGAAATTTTATTTTGATGTCAACATAAATTAACTACATTAGCAATATATATATATATTTCATGTATATGGTATTGCTTTGCATCAAATATTGCCTTTTGAGATATTTACATGCTACTTAGACATTAAGAAGCCGAACAAGAAAAGCAAGTTTGTCTTATTTGTATAACAGTGTGTATTATTCAAACAAAAGGTTCATTGTTTATTGCAACAATACAATAAATATATAGAGAATTAAAAGTCTTCCTTTTAACAAACTCATTCAAATAATTTAAGAGTTTTGAGCCCGTGATACGAATATGCTGTTTGAAAGCAATCATTATCTGTTTAACAATATGCTTATCTCTTATAAACCATCTTGTAAATAACTACGATAATCATAATTAAAATGAAACAGTCAATACAAATGTTTGGGGAGGTATTCATGATTCTTCCATTAAAGTAGACATTACTTGAAATCGATATTGCATGTCAAATGAAAGCTCGTGATCTAAAGAAAGTGAAACATGTCATATCTTATCCCTAAAAATACATTTCTGTAGAATAGCTGCTTTAAGTCTGTGTGACAATATTTCCCTGTATTAATAGACTCTGTAGTATTCTCTGTAAGAGACTCAAGGTCTCCTTGGTTTCACTTTTTCAATTTCATATAGAAATGATTGCCAGATTGGTACTACAAAATCGAATAGCAGTAAATACAGACATACTTAAGCTTTTCGTCTCGCACACATCCGAGTGCAAGATGAAGTATGAGTTCCAAGTTCAAGTGTTTGTTTACATCTCTTATTCATTTTCGTAAACCATCCTAGGAAAAAAATAGTTTTATTCTACTGTAAAGAATGTATTTACACTTGCAACCGCTCACCCAAATAGGATAGCATCCAATAAGGAAAAATAGTATAAAACTGCAAAATACCTCACCATACAAGCAACCCTTAACCCGTAACCTTCATCCTAACCCTAATCCTATAACATTGAACCTACCCCTAACCTAAAACATTTGACTAATTCTTGGTTGTGTATTCTACAGTTTGACCCCAAATGGTAATAACTCTATTTTTACATTTAGGACGACAATCATTATGATTAATTTTCGGATTAGATATATTATTTTCTAGAAATATCGAGACTAAATACATGTACGTGCATGCCTGTATATGCTTATGTTCAAGTGAATATAATGATTGTACTGAACTCAAAATATCCTTATGAAATGATGATATATTGTACTTAGTGGTTTAAATATTATCAGGGTGTGCTATTGAGCGATTGCGTGTTATTCTAACAGGAAGTAAAGTGTACATACCTAATATTCCATTCTTAATTGTAGTTTACATCACGTGGGACTCTATTGAAATACAAAATTGCACAAGTCACTTGAAGTGAATTACTACCGCTACTTTAATAATCGTCAATGCTAGGAACTTGTGCATCACATATAGAAATTGAAACTACTTACAAAATCCTTTAACAAATCTTCACTTAGACCAAAGCACTATCAAAACAAAAATCATTTTTCAAGAAATAGAAACCACTTCGAAAACCTTCAAATGCCATCTCTTCGGAATGGTCATGTACATCGGTATTGAGTTCAGGTATGATAAAATTAGTCCAAGCAGATAGCATCCATAGTTCCTCGTTGAAATAGTTGTTTTTATTGCTGAACTAGTAGAATGTGCGTCGAGGTTGCGGTAGCTTTCGGCTAATTCTCTTGGTGGTCGTGTTCTTTTAACACAGGGACAGCTTCTTGTTCAGGCATGATGCTGCGATTGAATGGCCGAAGAACCCTTAAATAAAATTCATGTATTAATATTATTTCTTGATTCCAAGACAAGGAGAAACACAGAGAACCATTTATATTCATTTGATTTAACCGGGCCAATAGCCAAAATGGATGCAAACACTACCCTAACCATTATAAATAATACGATACGGACAATTCAAATTGAGTCAACACATATTTTGTTATTGTAGGGGCAGTAGAGGAATCTGAGAAAGAGAGCAATGATTTACATTTTAAGCAATTTCTCCCTTTAGCGCTAGAATTCTGATCTTACGTTGAATTATGTGCATCTGTTTAATGAAGCGAATTATTACCACTTCTTAACATTTAGATATCTCACTTTTTCAGGAATCAATCAGACATATGGGTCCAGATGTATGGAATTTTCTACCTAACAATATTCGAAATATGAAATCACCAAACTCCTTTAAAAGAGCACTCAAAAGTATGAGCATTTCACAGATGTAAGATATTACTTACATAATAGTTTTCATTTTATCGGACATAAATTCAATTCTCTCATGATCTAAAAGACATTTTACTAGACTTAACGATATACTTTTGTTGTTCTTTTTTTTTCTTGTTCTTTATAAATAGTGTTAATAGTTCACAGCCCTTTAGGAATTCCATTTGTCATATATTATATATTTGAAAGGTGTTGTAATGATTCAAACTCTATTCGCTTATGTTTCATCACCTTTGTGTATTCATTCTATAAACCAAATAATAGTTGCAACTTGTCTTTGATAAAAGATTGTTATATTCTTTTTTGATGTGAAGTCTACTTAAATGGATAGTGAAATTGAAAATGATTTATTATATATTTTCTTTCTTCATATGATGTTAACTCCAATTAATTGTGAAATTGTGACATGCATAAATAAATAAATATTCCTCTGCATTCTTAGACTTTGAAAAGTGTTTTTCACATTGACAAATGATAATCCCCTAAATTTCAGATTATTGACCCATTAAGAGATATATCACACCAGCTGGTAAACAATGAACACAACATGTTTTAACCCCAAATATTTATTTTTGACATTTGGCTTGTCCATAAATATTTTTTTTTTGTGCTACAAAAAATGTGAAAACGAATCATATGCGTAAACCAAACATTTTCATTTTAGCTTCTTTTAAAGTGATATGAAGAAATGTATTCATTGCATTGCCTTACAAATACTCCGTAACCATCAAAGTGATTGTAGATGTGTGTATGTGTGTGTTTGTTTTATTTATTTCAATACGGTAATGAAAAATCTGCTTCCAGTCGCGAGGCTGTGTTTTTAGCCAGTCCGTTCACAAAAGAAGACAACGTTAAAAAGTAATTAGAAATTATTGGCAGGATAAATACAATTAACAAAACTAAATATAAGTTATAAAAAAATTATTACTAAAAAAACAAAAACAATTATAGTAGAGATAACAGAGATAGTATTGAAAAAGGATCTGAAAAAACAGGATTTACGAACAAAAAGTATCATGATCAAATCTCGGTAACTTTTTAAACAACTCATTCGGAAGATATGTTGGATGCATTTCATAAATGCCGGTATTTTGGTTTGCGTTCTTACAGTGTGTGAGAGAGAGCGTGTGGGTGAATGTGTGAGCGTGCGTGGCTGTGCGGGGCGTATTTTTTTAAAAAAGGTCTTGATTTAACCCTAAACCTAACCCTAACCCTAACCCTAAACTTTCCCATAGGCTCAACACGCACCTAACCCTAATCTGTGCCGCCGAAAAAAATAAAGTATGGGGGGGGGGGGAGCTCGCACCCGCGTGTTTGCGCTCGTCCTCGGGAGTGTGGGCGTGAGTGATCGGGGATGTGTAGGGGGTGTGCACTTGAGGGTGTGTGTGTGTGTGCACACGATAAGTCAATTTACTTACCAGATCAATAGATTTGCTTCGCCTTTTCATCCACAAAACGAATTCGACGACGATGACGACGAGTACAGAAATAAGCGCGAGGGTAAAAAGAACGACAACAGGGGCCAGGGCGTATAATGGAATGGTGCAATAATTGACGCTTTTGCACGTACCTGTACAGTAAAGATAGTGTACAGATAGAAAAGTGCTAATATTCAAAGATGGCTAAATATCAATGAGGTTGTTGAGGTTGTTGAGGTTGTTGTTGTCAATGAGGTTGTTGGATATCAGCTTTTACTGCTAGGGTCTTCTACCCCAAGAGAGAGAGAGTATAAATAAATATATGAATTTCCTAAAAGTATATTTCTTCAGCATTATTGCCAATTATACGGTGTGACGTTGGGCTCACCAAGACCCTACAGCACATCACCAGTACGTATGTGGTTACAGAGTAAAGAGGCATCAAAATGAATTCAGTATGGTATCAGATGAAGTCCTTGCTTGGCTCCCAAACGAAATATGTCCCTTTAGCTATGACACGTCATAAAAAAAATGGAAATTGAATATTGCCATGGAAATAGCAACTGTGTGCTTGCTGATCATATTATATATAATACAACAAAACTTGATGTTAAGATACTTACCATTTACAGGTACGTTTTGTAACAAGGTCGTCGATGGAAAAACTATCAAGAAAAGCAAAAGTGACAATAGTAACAAACAATAAACATGACTATACATATGTAAAAGTAGAACAATATTCAAATGAAGCTCATAACATTACAGAGTTAACATGAAGTCGTTAAAGTGACTCGGTAACATTGTTGAAGGTTGATGAAAAACACTGCGTAATTTTGTATGAAATGTTACTTATCATATTCCTTTTACTGTACTAACCCACTAATATAACACAAAAAATATCCTGAAAAAAATCTTAAATCACAAAGGTATTTATGGTTTTCTTTGAAGGCATCACTGTGCAACGCCCTCTTACAGTAAATTTTCCCAACCGTTTTTTCCATGAACATAAGACACAAGACAGGCTTTAAAAAATCTTTCAACACTTAAAATGTCTGGAATTGTATAAAGAGCCAATTCATTGCTTTGTCACGATTTCCATTCACCTAAAATGTAATTCAATTGTAATAACATAGTTAGGAGAATTAAGGAATCGATCAGATCAGTTTTCTTTCTCCAATTTTTGTCTTTAATAATGGTCACTTGAAATATACACTGTTGTCCATACATTGGGAATAAATTTGTATTCTTTATAGATACTGTTAATATCATCCCATATTTATCTATTAGAATAAACCAAATTGTCACAATCATTTCATGAAAAGAGCTTAGAAAAAATACAAGTATTAAAATATTATGGGCTCCAGTGTACATATGAAACTCTAAAGTAATCTAATATAATAACATTGTTGATTAACGTCATTATGCAACATCTAGTTCTACTTACGAGTACTAGTATTCGTTTTCCGACAGGATGGGATGGTTCCATGCCATACAAAGTCTTGAGTTGTAGAGGTTGTTGCTTTGTCACATCTCATCTTCCTATCTTTACCCACCAACTCATAGCTGTCATTACACTTGGCGGTGATAGTTGTGCCGTACATGAATCCATTCAATGTATTACTCCAAAATCCATTGTCTAGCTCGGGCGGCTTGTTGCAGAATCCAAACGAGACTGTAAAGTTTTGATCAGAAGGTGAACCAGACACATTACTTCAATGAAATGCACTGTATAAAGGGGTT